AAAGGTGATGGGAACAGTTAATGATTGATTTATGAAGATCGTTTATATAAGCGCTAAAAATAAAAGGAGATATGCTAGAGCCCTGGACAACTCCTAAGGCAGAGAAAGATAGGAAAAAAGTGTGTATATATATATATATATATATATATAGGTAATATTTAATATGTAAAGATATATATTGTAATATGTCTTTATTTTAACTAATAATATAACCTTGGAAGTTCACTTCTTACTGTAGCTATACTTCCAAAAGAAATAATAGATTGTTAAATAACAATATCAATAAATAACAATTAAAAAACCAAATAATAAGAATATTCGTATATTAAACTGTACTTATGTATTTTATATATAATGTATTTTATCTCCGGTATGGGTTACTGACAATCAAATCAAAATACTCAGACAAACTAAAATTATTTATACTAAACACTGTTTGATTTTAAAATAAAGTCAATTATTAATTGGCAAGCCAACCTTTTTTTTTGGCACTGAATTCCTTTGTTTTCAAACGCTTTCCAAAGTGCTGCCAAACAAACACACCTTCCAAAATGGTGAATTTTTTATCTACTCAACTCAAGCTCCCTGGGGCATTCTCTCTCTTGTAGTTCCAAACAATTAGTGACCCCAGTCAAACAACTGTTTGCCAAAACAAAAACCCTTTGTTCCACCCCTTCTTTGGGATTTTCCTTTTTTGAGAAACTACAGAACAGTAATTTTCTTTTCTCTGAATTAGTGGTGAAACTGTTTTTCAAATTTAAACATCCCCTGACATTAGCAGAACTAGATTAACTTACCTATTAACTGTTAAACATTAATTTACTAAACCATTTTTACCAGCTTCCAATAAAGGTGTATTTTACAATATACAGAGTGTCCAGCGACCGGGAAAACCAGGAATTGTATGGGAATTTTTCAAACCGCGAAATGTACAGGAATTTTTCAAAAAAACGGGAACTTTTTTTCAGTGCTCCTTTTGTATAGCATTTCTAGAATTGCTTTAAAAAAAAAAATAAAAAAAAAAAGATTCAACTGTTCATAATATTTTATGTTTCTGATGGGAAGAACATGGAAAACAAAGAATAAAATCCAAGAAAAATATCTCTTGTGTATAATTGTTAATTTTTTCTTGCTACTGATTTAGGCCCTTCATCTGGTTAAGTATAATAATGATATAAAAATTAACTACAACAATAAAAAGGAACAATTTTTTAAGAAAAAAGATACATAATTTATAATTACTCTGGAGGAAAATGTAGAGCTAAGAAAGGCAATATAGAAACAATGGTGTTTTCAGGGATTAAATATTTATAACGTGTTTACATTTTGTGACATATACATTATAATTTAAATGGATACATATTGTAATTCTTTAAGTACTTAACACAGATTACACACAGAAATAAATATGGATCTAAAAAAATAAAATTTTCTATATTAGAGGGCTACAGCCCGAAAGTCTCCTTATTCCTCAATTTTTTTTTTTTTTTTTTTTTTTGTATAGCCTGTTCTTACAAGTATTGCACGTGTTGGCCTCCCCAATTAAGAGGGTAATGGTCTAACTTCCCGCGGAGACCAGCCGTATTGGGAAGTAGGGCCGGGATTCGATCCTATGATCTTTGCTTTACTCGTATAGCACGCTAACCACTCAGCCATACCGGCCCCTATTCCCCAGTAATTGTATTTAAATATGTGATATAGAATATTGTTATATTCACATAAAATTATGGATAAATATTCTTTTTATTTAAAGAATATCTATTTTCTCTCAAATTTATAAATCTAAATACATATATTTGCTATCATATTAACTCCTGTAAATACAGGATTACAAATTCACATAAAAGTTTTTTTATTTTTTTTAGAAATACAACAATCTGTCACCTGGACTATAATTATAGTGATATATGAACACATATATACAGAAAATATATAATTAACAAAAGTAACATAAAAAATAAAATAACCTAAAGATTAGTAAATTAAAAACATAAAAACACAGTCATACCTATATACCTATTCACATAAAAGCATGTATAAATATTCTTTATTCCTAAATAATTTAAAAGAGTGCTTTATTAGTTGTGTTTTCCACATCATTTTATTGTCCACCGTAACACCTAAATGTTTCACCTCCTTACTTGATGTTAGCTATTTACCATTAATTTTAGGTAGTCTTATTTCAACCTTTTTCTTCATTGTGAAGACGTAAACATTTATCTAGGCCAGGTTGATACTCAGCCCACTGGACCTGCACCATTCCTCCAAGACTCCTGTTGCGGTCCTCAACAGATCAGAAAGAACATTTTGATATTTTCCGCCTATAAGAATAACGATATCATCCGCATATCTCTGTGCATAAAAACCTGCAGTATTTAATTTGACAAGCAAAGAGTCCACCACCAAACACCCACAGTATTGGGGAAAACACATCTGTGGTCCTGTAAACCTCCCAATTGTCCCTCACATCAAAACCTAGTATAAAAAATAGTTAAATATAATGAATAAAAAAAATTGATTGGTAACTAAAGGAGAAAGTTGAAAGCTATTTAGAGCTATATATAGAAACTGCTGAGAGCACCCAACCTTTGCCGAACTTCTCCCTTTACATATACCTGATACCCCTCTGTACAGGGCTTTCATATTGTTAGATTAATTTTTATATATATTACTTATTCATAATTTTTTAAACAGGTTTTCATGCCAAATGTAGGTGATAATATAAACCTAATAACATACAATATTTACTAAAATAAAGTTATTTTTTTGACGAGTTTTGTGATAAATGTTTCTGATAAAAAGCAGAATTTTTCCAAAAAATCCATTTTCCCCCACAACCATTAGTATTGTTTGACACTATACACAATCATAATAGAAAATGGAAAGTGATACAAATTTATAAATTTGATGGGTGGAGAAAACATAGTAATTAATTAATTTAACTGAAGATATATCATTCTTTTCAGTTTGACTTCCCTCTATATGTAAATACCTACCTATTCTGAGATTGGTAAGTGGAAGTTGGATGATGCGTGCACCCCACCTGATTTTTTTTTTACTTTCCTACCTATACTAGGGAAGGAAAGTATTGTGATCAGGTCAAATTTCCGATATGCAGTTTTCGACGGATCTATACATTTCAGAGCCCCCTGAGTCCAAAAAACACATTTTTAGCCATTGATCTGTCTGTCTGTGCCAATTTTCTCAGGAACTACTGAACCGATTTTGTTGCTTCTTTTTTTGTTCTGTAGGGTTTTGACTACCCATGTCTGTGACCCAAGTTGGATGCTCCATGCATAATAGCTGCTGGGCAATAAATGAAAAACATGTTGTTCTATAGACTGTAGCTCTAATAGCAATTGTTCTATAGAAAAATAGCTAAAAAACTTTTCTATAATATTCTAATAATTGTCCTTTCAATTTTTGTACATGGACTAAATTTCCAGGAAAAAACACTGTTTAGCCTGCTTTTTTGAAAGGTAATGAAATTCCATACAAAACTATATAAAAATTGTTCATTTCGGACAACTATTGACGAAATTACAGCTATTTTATTTCCAATGTAAGATTACGGGTACATATCTTGGTGTCAGAAAGGGATGAATGAGAGACAAAAGATAACTAAGTGAAAGTAAGAAAATCTGTTGCCTGCATCACACAAGCTTCACTATTTCCTCTACTTTTAACATAAATGATTGTTTGACAAAATTAGGCTATGGCAAAAAGTTGTTATTGAATTAAAAAGAGGGTATTGAAATTTATACACTGATCTATCTTAAGCTGGTTTACATTGCTTTAGTTTATCAAATAAATCGTACTCAAATCTTTTCTTTGATCAATTTTTAGGAAAATAAATCTAATTAATTTTTTTTTTTTTGTTTCTTTATGGACATTTGTAATAAAGATATAAAAACTTTTCTGAATTAGGTAGGAAAGTCGTGTGAGTGGGCATATCTGATTTTTCTTAATGATTATTCATCCTTGTTGATACATTTTAGGTGTTTATAAAAATTATGTGTTGCAAGCCCAGAGCATTTAATTGACATAGTTAGTTGGTAAATAGCTGAATGGATTGTCTCATTACAAAATTGGATTTTATATTTTATTAAACTCAACTTAATATTGCTAAAGTAAAATTTTAATATTTGCTTAAAATCACTTCGATTCTTTACCACTCAAAAGATAGACTTCAGAATTTTCTTCTTAATATTATCAATATAAACATACCACTTACTTTAATATTTGTTTACAATTAGTTTTACCTTTGATATTTAGCCCAACAAAGAACACGGAAAAGTTAAATATTGAAACTTGTTAATGTTATTTGAATATAAATGGTCTGGCCTTTTTTAATGAATAAATTAATATATTAATAATATTAAGTCAAATTTCTGCTAGATTGATATTGTTTAAAAATATATTATTAATATCAAACTGTAGCATTTGCATTTACTTTTTTTAGTTTGTTGTTTTCTTCTAAATTTTTGAATTGAAAAGAATACTCAAAGATTGGGAAGTCAAAAACTTGAATTTTTGTTAGAGGGTTAATACATACGACATAACTTATTTCACCTTTAACAATCCAAAATGATATCTTAACTGACCTGCATCCACCTATTATTTTTTTTTTAAATCAAGTTTCCATTATTATCTCCTTATTTTTAATAAATTTTAAGTATTTTTTCTTCCTTAATTTTGATTTTTTTTTCATGCAGTATTATTATAATTTTCTTAGTTTCCTATATTTAATTTTCAGTTTACCCCAAGGATTTTTAGGAAATAAAGAAGGAATTTATGCATCTTGATTTGATGTTTTTAGGATCAAATTATTTTTTCTGTAAAGTTCAAGGCTACAGGGTAACCTGTGGTCGTTTATTGATTTATTTTTTGCCACGATGATAATTCAATAATAATATGTACAATTATTAATGTATTTACTTTTTATTAATTTTCTTATTCCTTTTCTATTCCAATAGTATCTAAATTTACTTTAATTTCAGGCTTTATGTTGTTGGTGGAAGAGATGGCATAGCTTGTCTTAAAAGTATGGAAGCTTATGACCCCCTTTCTGATAAATGGACTAGTTGTACTCCTATGTCTAAAAGGCGTGGCGGTGTTGCAGTTGCAGTACTAGATGGATATTTATATGCTTTAGGTGGACATGATGTTCCTACTTGTAATTCAGCAGCACGATTTTCCTGTGTTGAGAGGTATTAAAATTTATTTAATTATCCTGTAAACTAATAATTATAATATATTTCGAAAACTGTGGCTAAACAAATAAATAAATATATGCGAAATGTGCTATTGGACACGCAGAAGAGTTTAAGTCAACTATCACCACGTGTGCCTTTACCATGGCATTGGCAAGAAAGAAGATATTCTGACTTCGTAGAAGACACATATATTTATATATGAAGACATCTGCTCCAACTCGAAACATTAAGCTAATATAGAGTTGAGAAATCATATGAAGTCTTTTTAATAATTCTTACTACTCTGTTTTAAATATAAATAAATACTTGTGATAAAAGCTTATGGGCCTTTAATAAGATAAAACTTAGATATTATATATTTTATTAAAAACCTGTGCTACAACCCATAAAGTGTCTTGGATTCAGTACTATTTAGGGAAAGTATTGTTTCTTGGTCAACAGTTGTCCAAGGTATTGATTTGACCGAGATCTACCGCCAGGTTTATAGGTACCCACAATTATAGAGGCTGGGTGTACCCCAGTAGGGTCTCCCGACCACAGGTAGATAAAACAGAATAAACCTGGGGGGATTTGAACCTAGAACTTTAGTAGGTCCCCCCAACCCCAGGTCGATGAGATAGAATAAATAATTTATCTACTGTAAGCTGGGATTCGAGCTTTGGACCTTGAGCATTGGAAGCTCAGCGCCCTTCCACTGAGCTATCCCACTTCCAGGAGACCTTTATTAGGGTATGGTTATTAGGTAGAATTAATAGATTAAAAATATTTTGTTTATTTACAGGTCATATGTTATATCTTTTCATTTATCTTGTTTTACGTACAATAAATTGATGTTTTGTATCTAGATTGTGTTTAGCGCTGTTTATTAATTAATAATTTTTGTATTTATTCAACATAATATAATTGAATTATAATCCTGGTATTTGTAAGAGACTAAAAAAATAACAAATCATTTTAAAAAAGATATGTTGTGTATGACTTGTTGAAATTTTATTCAGAGAAATATTTTGACAAGTTGACAAGCTCGTTTTTCTTGGGATCAGACACTGTCATTGCCGAATAATCGGAATCTTAGCTCAGTAAACCTGTTGCACTAACATATAACGGGTACGCTGTTTCGTCCTCCTGACAACAGAACCACCAAAAGTGCAAGTCATTGATGATCCGTCAAGGTAACAATTAATCCCATTAATGGGTTTATGTTTCCCTGAATTTACATTTACATTTACATTATAATTCTTTATTAGGAATTCTCTGATCTGAGTTTCAGGGTGCATTGCAAGTACCCTATCTTCCTCAACTCTTTGAAATATTTTCCAATGTCTCTCATGTGTATTTTTCTATGAACTTAAGTTTAGTTTGTGTAGCCTATAGAAATTTTTCAAGGCCTTTTTTTCTATCTCCAACTGCATAGGATATATGAGGGCGGTCTGAAAAATTTCCGACCACAACATGAAGATGGCAGCACTCGTAAATAAAAGCAAGTGAATTTTGTTGTTCATCTGTTGACAGTTTCTATGTAACAGTTGTTTGAGTGAGTGTGTATGAGTGTTTTTGTGAAAATGGACAAAATTGAGTATCGATCTGTCATTAAATATTTGTTTTTGAAAAGCAATACACCTACGCAAATCAAAGATGAGTTGGATTCTGTGTATGGGGACTCTGCACCATCATTTACCACAGTGAAATTTTGGGCAGCTGTCGTAAGAGCTTGGGAGACGATGAACGTTCTGAACGTCCAAAAACTGCAACCACCGACAAAAACATTGCCAAAGTTCACCAAATGGTGCTAAACGACCTCCGAATTAAAGTGAGAGAGATAGCAGAGGTTATGAACATGTCAAAAGAATGTGTTTGTTACATATTAAATCAACAATTAGATATGAGAAAGCTGTCCTCACATTGGGTGCTGCGTTGCCAAAAATGTATTCAAATTTCCAATGCTCTGTTGGCGCAGTTTAAGTGCAATAAATCTGAGTTTTGGCGCCGATTAGTAATAGTGATAAAGAGTAGCTCATTCATAATATGCACAATAAATGAAAATAAATAAACAGCAATATAACAATTCTAAAAGTAAATGTATATAAACTAAAAGATACTAAACTAAACAAAAATAAACAAATTTAATCAAATAATTACTTAAATACACACATGTTTTTATACAATATTCATTCGCTCAAGGTCTCCTAGCCAAGCCTTCCCCCTCATCGTGGAGGGAAAGGCAGGACTCTAGGAGATCCCAGCGTCTTTCATTCAGCCGCATCACTGGTATTACCAATGGAGGCTGAGCAGAGACACTATAACCAGACATACATGGCTTGAGTGGAGAATCTGGGCATTGCCAGAACTCCAATATATTCTTACAACAGGTCTCTAGGCTACTGCCGCTTCAATCTTTGAGGAGGATTGTAGGGATGAGTAGAGCTAGAGAGGGATTGTGCAATTAGATTTGGATGATATGTAAGATTTTGATGGAGTTTAGAATATTTTTGAGGGATTTTGCTGTCCCCCACAGTTCCAGTCCATAGGTCTAAATAGGTTTCAGTTTTGTCTTGTAGATCAGTAGATTGTTGTCAATTGAAAGTTGAGATTTTCTGTTCAGTAGTCTATATAGCTGGCCAAATTGTCGGTTGAGTTCTTGTCTTTTGAGTCTACTATGTGGGTTCCTTGTCAGTCTTCAGTCTAAGAGAAAGCCAAGATACTGGATTGTATCTGAGTAAGGAAGCTGGATGGAATTAAAGTGTACTGGTGGACAGGAATTGTGTCGAAGAGTAAAGGTAATATGTTTGCATTTCTACTCATTCACTATAATGCGCCATTCATCACACCAGTGCTCAATCAGGGAGAGGTTCCTTTGTAGATTTAAGAATGCTATTTTAGGATCTGAGTTGGATGATAGGATTGCGGTATCATCAGCAAATGTTGCATGGAAGGTATTGGAATGAGCAGAGATGTCAGCGGTAAAGAGGATGTAAAGCACAGGACCCAAGACGCTACCCTGGGGAACACCGGGTTTAATTGGATAAATATCGGAAAATGCCATTCCACAGCATACTCGAAAAGAGTGGTCAGAGAGAGAGGATCGAAGGATTAGGTATAAGGACTGAGGGAGATAGATTTTAAGCTTGTAGAGCAGCCCGGGGTGCCATACCCGGTCAAAAGCTTGTGCTATGTCCAGAAATGCACCTGAACAGTATTGCTTGTTTTCTAGGGCTGCTGATATATGATCAATGACACGAAGTCCTTGTTGAACAGTGGAATGTTTTGAGCGAAAACTAAAGTGATGGGATGGAAGATTTTGGGGTTCTATGAATGGTAGGAGTCGTTTCAAAAGGGTCTTTTCAAAGATTTTTGAAAGGATTGGGAGTAGGCTAATTGGTCTATAGGATGTCAAGCTGTTGGAAGGTTTGCCTGGTTTTGGAAAAAGGATAATGTTGGAGTGTTTCCATAATAGAGGAAAGTTGGTGGTACGTAGTATGCAATTGTAGATATATGCAAGGAATATGACTGCTTTGGATGGAAGTTGTCGAAGGATCTGAGGGGTAAGGAGATCATATCCAGGAGATTTACAGGGGATTAGCTTTTTTAATTGAAATTTCACTTCGGAAGGATGAATTGCTTTAGGAGGCAAGGAAAGTGGGATAGGTGATGTAAGGAATTCTTTTACTGTGTGGGCAGGATGGGATTCCGGATGGGGATTAAATGTATTGGAGAAGTGTTTGGCGAACTCTTCGGCTTTATCTTCATCAGATGCTGCCCAGGAACCGTCATCTCGTCGGAGTGGATGGGAAATTCGGTGAGGATTTAGTATTTTCATTGTAGTTTTCCAATGAGAATTATCACGAACAGAGAGCGAGGATAGGTAGGAGTTAAAGGATTGTGATCTGAAGGTGGCTAATTCCAGTTTTAATTTTTTACAGTAATAATTATAGGAGCTGCGGTCGGTAGGATGTCGAGTACGTTGCCACAATGAACTGGTACGACGTTTGGTATGGATTAGATCAAGGATGTGTTGTCGTAGAATGGTCTTTTTAGAAATTCTGGAAGAGTCTTTTGGGAAGGAGGCAGTCCAGGCGGCTTGATGGATTGTGGTAGTAAAGGAATTTACGTCACTAATTAGGTCATCGGAAGTTTTTAAGGATATATTGAGATCAATTTTATCGGAGATAATTTGGCGGAAAAGGTCCCAGTTAACTGGCTCCTAATAAATGACTGTGGAGAACGTTTGGGAACGGGTTCAAGTGAAACATTAAGGTTTAGAGGACTATGGTCAGAGGAAAGTTCATTTAGACGTGTAATGGAACAATTGAGGGGACTCAAGCCGCTGTGGATAAAGAAATCAAAAATATCAAGATTATGGTTAGGATCTGTGGGCCAGTAAGTAAGAGAGTTGGGGGAAAGGAGGTGAAAACGTTGGGAATTGAGTGCAGACAGCAGGGTTCGGCCATGAGAATTCGTGGTTCTGGAACCCCATTGTTGGTGCTTGGCATTCAAGTCTGCAACCAAGATGAAGTGATGTCCTAAGGAATCGAGGAGAGAACTGAATTGGGCATTGGATATGGATCGGTTAGGAGGGCAATACGCTGACGCGAGGGTAACCGGAAAGGAGAAGGTTTTTATTACGATAGCAGTGAACTGTAGGAAATCGTGTGTAGGTAATGGGAGTAGGTGATGTGAGAGGGATTGGTGTAGAATGACAGCAGTACCGGCATGTGCTCTTCAGTCAGGTTGGTCAGTACGATATGTCAGGTATTGTGGTATTTTGAAGTGCTGTTTAGTGGTTTGTCAAATTTCAGTAATTAGTGCCACGTCAATGTTCTTGTCAAGTAATAATGCAGAGGATTCGTCTGTATGATTCCTAACACTATTCGCATTTCAAATGAATATAGGTTTCTTGGATAGTCATTTAAGGAAACTTTGGAGGAGGAATAAAATGTGATAAAAGAATGTGAGAAGGGATATCAAAGGAGTAACAAAGAATCTGAATTCAGAAA